AAACTGGATGGCCGCTTGTGACCCTTCCAATGTTCTCAGTTTGAAGAACCGTTCATTGGTCAAGTTTCTCTTCGTGTGGACAACTATAACAGTAAGCAGCAGCGGCAAGGTGGTCTGTAAGTAACACAGAGAAAAAAAGGAACATTCCAATGGGAAAAAAGTAACAAAGAGTACAATGACAGATGGAACATTACGTTATAGCAGTGCTGACTTCTTTTTCTCTTTCCTCTTTGATAACGATGGTTTTCTCCAACTGCCACTAGCTTCTGAACAACTTGAGCACTCAAAAAGATGACAACCTTACGAACTTAAAGAAAAGGATGCGTAGTATCACTGAGACCGTGCAAAATTTCTCTAAAACGCATTATTAATTTTTTTTTATTTCACTTCACCCACGCCTCTTCAAACCTACTGTACGGAGAATAGCAATGCTTGAATTTTATTCGTTCCCTTATTTCCACCATAGAATTTCCTCCTTCTTCATGGTTGTCTTTGAAAGTTTTCGTAAGACGGATTTCGATTTCTTCATTGGGTCTTCTGATCGAAACGCGACCGACAACATTCAAAGCGAAAATAGGAAAAAAAACCAAAATGTCGTACTGGTAGGATAACAGAACTTGTATTCTATTAATGCGGACTGCAAATTCCTAACCTGAAAGCGGCGAGGACTCTACGGTTTTGTTGAACAATGTATAAGTCAAATTCCAGTCTTGCAATTGGTTAAGAAATCTGAGGTTTCACCAATCACATAAAAAGGCGCAATGCCTTCGATTCCACTTTGGACACTGTCGAGGCGATTAAGTGCACATTTAGCTTGAATAATGACTCAGAGTTTTCCATCGATGAGGCCAGTCAGTGCTTTTTTGTGCTAATACAGAACGAAGTTGAGGCTCTTGGTTATACTGTGGCGTGATCGAACCGATGACACAGTGTTTCTCAGAGCAGCTCCAGCTACGGAATTTAACGCATTGATACATTGAAACTACACGCAAAAGTTCAGACTGGGTTCAATGCCGATTTGGGCTCCCCAGATCAATCCCGTTGACGGCTGATTGCTGATGGAAAAAAATCGACAGAACTAGCTGAGAGACAGGCAAAACGAAGGACCCGGATGGTGTGGTGGTGAACGCGTTACTCCCCGGAAGGGACAATAGCGCTCGTTCGTTCCCCACCGCATACACCTGCGGTCCAGAGTTTTGCAAATATCTCAGCATTATATACGAGTTTAGACTTATTTGTGACATAATGAAAGCACAGATCCTTTTCTTCTCCTTTTTCTCTTTCCTTCCCTCTTCTTCACTCTTTTCCCCCTCTCCCTTTCCGTTCACTCTCTTTCTTTGCTTAAGCTTTTTTAATTTGCTGGCATCTCTGTAAGTGAAATGATGATAAACTCAAGAAATGACCTCAACTTGTTATTTCACACTACTACATTTTGCAATTTTGTAGTCGAACTTTTTTCCAAATTCAACTCTTGTCACTCATAAGGCTGAACTCTAAGTGTTCGTTCTTTGACAAGTTTATTTTTGGCCAACGTTTCGACGGTTTTTCCTTCACCAGAGCCGACGATCCGAATATATGGTCCACAGATGTTCGTGGTTAAGTTCTGAGTTCTATTTTCTTACATTTATTACATTACGCATTACGCATTTCCACCCTGAAGCGCTTTTGATTTTTCGTCAAAATGATTAGTCACCGAAGACCTCTAGCTCCTTGCACAACTTATTAGTGCTGGGGGCCGGTTCTCAGAAAAATCGCAGGTATAAAATGAAGACAAATACCTTATTACTATTTAAACTCTTCAGGAAATTTGAAGTTAAGAAAGTTTTATCATGCAAATACAAAAGTTGGATAAAGTAGTAATTTAGTGAAAAACTGTGAAATTGTCCAGATGTAAAGGCTTATTTTGCCTTCTTAGATTAAGGAAGCAAAAAATCCACAGAAATTCGGGTTTTTGCAAGGATGGTCCGTAGTTTTGCAAATATCTCAGCGTCATCTTAGTTGTATTTCACATGATACCCTGCCGTCAAAATTTGTAGCAGGCAATAAATAAAAAAGGTTAAGATTGTAATTTTAGCAGAACTCCTCAGAACGGCTTTTCGTCAATAATGCATTTGACGATGGAACTGTTGCTGTTCGCAACGTCGAAAATCGTTTGGTAGAAAGAGTTTGGTTTCAGAAGCATTACGATGAAGATGAGATCTACTAAGATGGAGAAGGTCGGCAATGGCCATTTGAAGAGGCTAACTGAAGCTGATCCATTGACGTCGGATCCAGAACTTATGAATGAATCAGGCGCTGATGAAAAAACGATTGTAGGCCGTCTAAAGTGAGCTGGAAAATGAAGAAAAGCTATGAAAAATTGTATAACCATAAGACTGAAAGAATGACAAAGAGGAATTGTCTACTAAAATCCGTGTTTTTGAACGAAAGGATGCGTTTGGTTGACGTAGAGGCCCTTGATGCAGGTGATAATTACCTTAAAAAAGAAGGTATAAACGATGAAGTTCTCCTATCCGAGGAGGATTGGCTATGCATTCAACTGCACCCGTAGCACGGTGATGGTGATTGAGCACCCGTTTAATCTAACCTGTGGAAGGCCTACAAATGTGTCAAGTCAACGTTTTTATATTTTCAGGGTAGTCCCACACCTATACGCCATTTCAGAAAGGGCAAAAAGCTGTGTCTACTTAAAGCTCGGAATCGGACCGTATATTTCTCAGACGACGTCTCCCACTAATGCGCTGTACATATTCTGTAAGTGATGTCAAGAAATCAACGAAATTCTCAAAGTCTCCGATCTCAGCTCCCATTATCCTTGACAAATTGTAAAGAAGTAATTCAGAGGCACAACAGAGCAAAAGATCAGGTAGTAATGTCACGATTTACTTCAAAATTTGCTATCAAGCTGCCTTCAACCGAAGAACAAATTTCTTTAAAAGTGAATTAAAGCGTAAATCGTTCGGCATTGATCAATCACTCAAGAATAGGTCACTCCATTGAACTGGACTCCATTTGTGGCAGTGCAAAGGTGTTCGAACGCAGGCATGGCCTATCGAAAGTTTTACGGTTTCATCGATGTAACAAGTCGGCATTTCTTATACTCCCACACGACGCTAGCCTGAATTTTCCTGCGCCGAAGCGGTGAAAGGCTTGCTTTGCCTACGATCGAACCATAGACAATGTGTTTACTGAAAACTACCCCTAACCATTGCGTTGGAAGCGCTCCAGAATATCTTTACTTTTTAAAACCACATCTTTTTTTCTAATTATTTCATTTCTTGAGTGAGAAACTTTTAATCTTGCTTTTGATATCTCACTAACTTATTTGGTTTATTAGATTATGGTCCATTGATTTCCATTAATGAAGACAACGGCAGCAGCCTCAATGAGCCTCTGCAGATCCAGTGCCATTTCTTTATGTGTCTCGTAATTGGCTGACTAAAGCATCCACATTCTACGAGTTTTACTTAACATCAAAAAATCGAAAAGTGTTGTAGAACAGCTGGAACTTGTTTGTGCAACCTAATGGAATATAAGTTGAACTCGTCTTCAGAAACAAAAAATGAACTGCGTACTTCAGAATGAAAGACAAGACTACAAGTGTTTTTTTATGTCTTCGAACTGCTTTGTTCGGAGCGACGCCATCGCCATTACCCTTTTTCGTTCACAAAACCAGAATACGCAAGGTGTATGGTCGGAAAGGTGAGACGGCGACTTAAGAAATCATATATCGCCGATTATCATAATACATGAACTCGATCTCGCACTGACGTCGTTGTCGACTGGCCAGATTCCTATGGACGTCATCTAAACCCGCGACGATGTAATCGACACCGGTTCATTCACAGAACCAGATGGACGCGATTTCAACGATGTTTCGAAAATGGAATGAATCCCGCGGTTGAGAATCATCTCACAGTTATCTGAATAAAAAATTCTCACGAAATAGAAAGTCTGGCTGGAATATATATTTGAGTCAGATAAATAATCGTGGGTGATGTTTGGAGAATAGCGCGCGTTCGTTCCCCACCATAGACACCTGCGGTCCAGAGTTTTGCAAATATCTCAGCAACGTTGTGGTTGTATTTCGCTTAATTCCGTGTTGTTCATAGACCGTCAGTAGATATTTTTTGGCCAGAGACAGGCACATTCGTCAACCAAGTAGGCTCTGCGCATCTAGTCTCTCTCACAACGTACAGGACACCCAAAAAACGTAAGCGTGGCGCTGTTTGTTATCCGATTAAAATCTAGGTTTTGAGATTTTTCTTCCGCTGATTCAAGGAAAGTACTTCGCTGAGTGGATTGCGTATCAGTATAAGTATAACTTTCTCCAGGCTTCAAAGAAGAAGTTTTTTGAAATGCTATTCATTGTGAGAAAGATGTCTTGCTGTGATAGTAACCTCATGAGTACCTCATAAAGAAATAAATCAGTAAAAGAGCCAGTTCACTAATTTTCTTCCAACACGTTAGAGACTTCGCGTTCAGCTTCGATGTGAAGTTTACGTAACGTTTAATGGAATAAGGTCCGGCTTAAATGATCATTCCAGAATGTTAAGATGGCTAAACAAGCCTAACGTCATTCAAAATCTAGTAGATCTTGTATAGCAAGAAGTTAAAGGAACTGGCAAGTTTATTTTATTAGTGAATCTGGGCTTAGTCCGATTTAATTGCAATGTTATGGCCACTAAAACCATTCCACTAACGATTGGCGACTACAAATCCAGTTGGTGCTAGAACAATCGATACCTATTTCAAAAAGACATGTCGAAGGGCTTAACGCTAGCTTTTTTATTCGATTTTTTTGATTTACGTCTATAATTGCATTGCACTAAACGGCTTTAAGACTGGCTTTCTGGTGATAGACATCGATGGAACACTGTACTCACCGATCCCGGTGGTTCATTTCCAGTCTACAGAATGGGGGCGTGCCACTTCTGCCTATGAGAAGCTACAGTCATATTCGAGTCCACACCGCCTCTTGCCGATTCTTTAGGGTCAGCATGACTTCGGCTCGGATAGCCGCTTATTCGGCTATAGGACTTTCTACAGCATGCGTGTTAACTACAGTATTCTATCTGCCGATACTCATTTCAAAAGTGCAATCAATACAAAATGGACTCACCAGAAACATCGATGAATTCAATGTGATGGAGGTAAAATTCGGACTCTTTAAGACTTAAGGTCAAACACCACAGGAATATCATTTATAATCAAATCTCTTAGTTACCCTCGTTGTCGAACTTATTTTTAGAAGAAATCCAGATGGTATTTGAAGGAATCGAAGAATACTGTATGGTCGACTGGCCGAGATCATGAGATTTGACTAGTGACTGCGAAGCACTCCAAATTTTTTTTAGAATCCCAGCGAAAAGCTTAAATTTGAACTCACAACTGAGAAAATTGGCTCATATAATGAAGTTAAATATTGCGGATAACTAAAACTTACTGCCTTTATTTTCTTGTTCTAAGGGAATAAAACATATGAAGCAAAACGGGGCGAAATTGGAATCCTGTTTTTCTGCTACATTTCTAAAAATTATGTGACCCATCATCGCAAAAGTTTTGGGGATCCCAGCAATTCGCTCATCCCTTTCGGTGTCTCGCATTCTTACCTTCCAAAGCTTTGCCATTTGTAAATGACTTGGGTTCGGCTGCTGCTTGCGAATTTTCTTCCCTCATAAATTTCGTTGCTGGCTGTTTCGCTGAATCCTTCTTTATATTTCAGTAGCTCCATTAGAGTCTTTTAAGGCCTTCACAACAGAGGCAATCTCTAAACTTGGTGAGGTCTCATAAAGCCTAAAAAAATAAAGTACTGTGTTACTGATGGCTAGGAAAGACTGGCTTGATTGTTGCAAACCATGGTCGAGCCAACGACCATGCGCGTATTAAATGGAAGCCCTAACTACTTAATGTGTGCCTTTCTAAAATTTTTCTACCAGTTTTTCTCTTCATTGAGCAAATGCGAGTTTGGTATTACGGCGCTTACTAATAGAGAATATCTCACGTGTCGGGGGTTTGGCCTTTTTTAGGAGCAGGAAGGGTCAAACTGACATGCAATCTACTCAGCCAAACACTCTCATAACCTTAGCAGTTAAGACTTGACACAAAAATTTTCATTCACATAATAAACAGCTTTTTTTAAACAACCACCGTCTTATTCGTTGTAAGTATTCCAATTAACCGGTGCAGAGCAGCCGCAGAGAGTAATTACAAAGCGAGGAATATGTTTGGGTCAAGTTATAGAATTAGCCTGATGTATGGTGTGAGGTCACACGTAATCGCAAAACACTCTTTCTTGCTGTTTATTTCTGGGTTTTTGAGATTAATCCAAAACGCCTCAAAAGTTCTTTGTAGTGATGTTTTGGATTTCTGTGCGCGGATAGTGACTTCTAGTTCAAAATCTTCTCCGTTATGTTTTTGCGTCCGGTGCGCGTCTAGTGGAGCATTTGGTTTCAATCTAAATTTACTGGTCCTCTTAAAAAGACGCTGGCCTACCCGTTACACCAATGTATTAGTCCATATACGGTCATGTAGGCGGTTACGAACTGTCCAGAGTCTTAGAGTGTCCGGTGGTCAATTATCAATCAATGCTGAGGTTAATAGAAAGCCGGTATTGGGGATTTTTACCTCTTTGGCAAAAGTTTGGAAAACTGAAAAGTCTTCTTCTCAAACAAATTGAATGAAAAAATTTGCACTGTCACCACGAGTTTTCTAAGACATCGGAGAGGTCGATAGACTCTATTGATAAGCTCCAATTTGAAAAACATTATTAAACTGGAAAAGTGTAGGTAAAATTATATTTTATCCCAAAAACATTTTTAACACTAACAAAAATAGAAAGTAGGACCCTACGTGGAAGCCAACGATGCCGTAACCATAGATGCTCACCTCATATTTTCGCAGGAAAGTAGGTGCTAACGAGTTTGAGAGAATTTGTAGGACACAGTTGATGAAATTGCTGCCTATTGAACGATTTTTGTTAGAGTCTTATTAAAAGCTGAAGAAAAGGACAAAGTTTTCGGCATTGATTAATTCCAGTGGGATAACCCATGAACTCGACTTCATTAAGCAACGTAGAAGATTATTCACTGCATATCTGGTCTATACAGTGACACCCTGCGACTTACCGATGCATCGAGTCAATGATGCTATCCTCCCAGACAAATCTGGTACCAATTTGCCTACACCGAAGGCATGGAAGGCTTGGGGAGCACGGGGCGCTGGGATCGATTCTATGTGTCTTGCAGGGCACCTCCAACCACTGCGCTACACGCGACCCACTAGAACTTCGCTAGACACTGAAAATTGAAATGCTTAATGCAATTAAAAATCAAACGTTAGCGAAACGGATGTTTTGCAGTTCCCATATTGGCTAATTCTCTCAAATATTTTCCTGCAAAGTTGTTCTATAAAGAAACAGCTGAGAACTTTTTTATAGGAAAATATTTAGGTAGAAATCTGGAATGATCTGAAAGAGGCTCTAAAAGAGGGACAATATCGAATGGTTGCTAAGCGTCAAGTCAGCGAGGAATGCGGTACGAATTCTGCCTTATCTTCGACAGATTCAAGTAGTTGTTCATTCACTGCCGGAATTCAGACTGTAGTCTGGAAAACACTTGCCCACCTGGTCCGAAAGGTCGTCCTGGTTACGACGGAGTAGACGGTGCCCCGGGAATACCAGGAGAGCCGGGAATACCTGGTGCCCCAGGAATAACACCACAGATTCAAGTCAGCGCAGGCGGCTGTCGAGTATGTCCTCCCGGACCGAAAGGACCTGTTGGTGAGCTAATGATTCGTATTCCAAGAAATTTTATAGTTAAACCTTCTGAAATATACACGACAAAAAGAATAGGCAGTAAATAAAAAGGTTGAGATTAGCTACCAAGTTTTTAAAAAATCCCTTTGTGGCATTCCGAACCCAAATCTGTTTTTTTTTACAAACAAAAAACAGATTTGGGTTCGGAATGCCACAAAGGAATTTTTTAAAAACTTGGTAGCTAATCTCAACCTTTTTATTTACTGCCTATTCTTTTTCAATGACAGGGAATGTTGCGAAATATAACTTATATAATGCTGAGATGTTTGCAAAACTCCGGACCGCAGGTGCTTGTGGTGGGGAACGAACGCGCTATTGTCCTACTCGGAGAGTAACGTGTTCACCACCTTGATAACTAAATTTACACATCCCATATAATCTTTTTATCGCATGTCTTTTTATTTTACCGATGTTTTGGATGTTAATATGCCTTCATTTACATATTTTCTCGTTCTAGTTTATTTTGCTTCTTTTCCAAATGCAAGTATAGGCTTATGGTTAACATTTAGGATATCCTGGACAACCTGGTCCACAAGGTCTTCCAGGCGAGGCCGGACCACCAGGAAACGAAGGCCGCCCCGGAAACGATGGCGTTATAGGGCCTCCAGGACCAAGCGGCCCTGAGGGAGAACCAGGCAAAGATGGAGAAATAGGTCTACCTGGATCAGAGGGTGTTCGTGGAGAAAAAGGACCACCTGGGCCACCAGGTCTTAAAGGGCTAGTAGGACCTAGGGGATATCCAGGAAACTCTGGACCGCCAGGACAACCTGGAATGCTTGGACCTACAGGTGAACAGGGTCCACCGGGAAAACCAGGTAATCAAATGTACTTGTAGTTAGCGTCTTTGGCAGAATATGCTAAGCAATTGACATTATCGTCTACTTTGTAGGAGCACCTGGATATCCTGGTGGCGTTGGTAACTATGGCGAACCTGGAACTCCAGGAAAAGATGCGGAGTATTGCCAGTGTCCTCTTAGGACTCACCAATCAAAGAAGGCTTAAGAATATTTCCCAGTGCTAGCCTTTGGCCTGCGAATCTTATATGTTCACACTCAGCTAATAAAGTTTTGCTGAAGAGCAAAACAACTCCGCATTATGATTCGAACAGCTCTCCAGAATATCTCGTAATATTACATACCACAATGTTGACTTCATGAATCAGCTCTTCGTCGTGAAATTTCTATTGTTCGAAAAATGAGTAAATCTGTCTGCAATACTTGCCAGTGGCTAAGTCGGTGATTTTGTTTGCTGTTAAGGATGAAAATGAAAGGAGAAGTGAGGAAATATCGAGAATGTGTACGTGTATGCAGGAATCAGAAGGTGGAGAGCGTTTATGATCCGCTAGCGGGATGAATCGTTTTTATGAAGTGTAAGGCTGATGCAGATAACTTGAAAGTAAAGAGAATAACTGGATAACTAGGGGCGGATAGCACAGTGATAGTGGTGCCCATCATCACGTTTTAGTTCGACTTCGCTCCAAGCCAACTTAGCCCCTCATCCGTTCGGGATCGAGAATTTGGTACCAGACTTATCTGGGAAAAAATCACTCTCTGCAATTCAATTGGGAATGCTCCAGCCCGGTTATCTCAGGACTCCAGGAAGAATTGCTGGACTGGCGCTCTACGACATTCAAAATGAAATAAAAATTCTCAGGCAACAACTGAAGCTACACGTAAAAGTTGGAAGACCTTCGTGGACAATGGAAGCGGCAAACGAAATGCGTGTGTGAAGTGGTGGGATCCGCACAGTAGATGTGAAATCGAGTGAAATAAAATGAACAAAAAAATTAACTTTCTCGAATTTTCGAAAACGACTTTACTATTTAACAAGTAATTCTAAAACATGGATAGTAGTTGGATTGTCGAAAGCTTTGCTTCGTGTACTAATAGGAAGGGATGTGAAACGAATGATAATTGGAAGATAGAGTACAGATACGAAGCAGGATAAAAAAACGAGGATGAAGCATTCTGTGTTAATCAATTTTCTAGGGATGCGATACGCATTTGATTTTGTGTGCAGATAACTCAATGCACATTTGATTTACACATTCTGGCTTGCTGTTGGCTGAATCATTTCATTGTTTTTTTTTCTCCCATACAAGCCTGGTACCAAAGCGTCGACAATGAAAGGCAGAGGGATTTTGTCTGTTAGAGAGGGCGAACCAGGACACTAACAACTGTATTTCACGTTTGCTGGGAAGACCAGGCTTTCGCAGGGTAGTTGCAAAATGTCTCGTAAGTCATACTTTTTATTTGTGGATAAACGACATCATGCTGATGAGAGACTTCCCCCTACCTTTCCTAAACGATCTACATCAAAACTTAAAGAGTACTAGCACAGGTAACAATCAAACTAACACTTATTAACAAAAATAAACATCTAACATTCTTTTCAAGTTGCGCTTGTAGCGAAAATGGCCTGTGTTCTTTTTAAGGTCCGATGTTTACCCATTTGTTCCACTTTCTTGCATTAATGCAGTTTACAGCCAGGAATAGACTGTCTTAGAGGAACCAGGTCTCATCTTTAAAAACAGTTTTTCTCAAAGATTCTTCTTGTGTCTACGGAAGTACCCTAACATTCCAATGCTTAACTCCACTCAACCTTTCTTTGCATTTTTTAAGAGTTTTTTTTTACATGACCAGCTGTCACACCTTCTACGCGGGTCTCAGTACTTCCTGTACTCTAATTATTTTCCTCGTCATCGTACTCAAAGGTTTTCGAACATTTCGCGCGTTTCAGCTCCTAATTCAGCATTTTTGACTTCTTTATAAATGTCATAGAATGATGTTCGAGTCGACTCTCTTTGCCAGTCTCTTGGAGTTAGTCGAGCTAAGGTATCCGTGGGTCGGTAGGAGGAGAACGTTGAGGGAGTAGTGGAGTGGCCGACCAGCACCATACGTCCCGACGGACTACATCAGTGACCACTGCGTCACCTTTCTTTTTCATAATAATTTTGTACGCCAATTCGGTATGCCGTTTTCAAACTTTCTAATTCCAAAGAATCATTTTGTCACGATAAAGTGATAAAAAGCGTTCTGCATTGATCTTAGAGTTACACTATGTATTTGACTCTATCTGTAGCATTGTTGAGGTCTCTAACTGTATGTTTAGCTTGTAAAATGGCTTTGGCAGGCTTACCGCTCTACCAAATCAAGCCTTTATTCTCCCACAGAAGTCTAAAGTCGCTTCTCTGAGAATAGAGAAATCAAGAGCTCGTTTTAGTGCGCGATACCCAACTAGCAACCGACCCAACGTGCACAGCAGGACATCGCTAACTGTTGCATTTTCGATGCCGTAATAATAGGATCAGTGAATCAAAAAGTGTGAAATATTAACCTGGTACTGTAATTAAGAAATTTCGTGGAAATTACTGTTTATGCGACATAAGAAGACGAAGGACTTTCTATTTCTTCGGAAGTCGTTCACAAATATGAGTGGAGCCATCATTTATTTCAATATGGAAACGTTGAGTAGACGAGAAAATTTTTAACATTCATTTTTACATGACCACATGTCACATGTTGCACGGACGCCAACGCTTCTACCATTCGATTCGAAATACCATTTGCATATCCTATGGAGATCGTCAGGTTTTCAATATGCATTTGATTTCCGCTTCAACTTTTAGTTTGCTGAATATTGTTAAATGAGGCTCGAGTGGATTGCCTCTTTTATCCTGGGATAGCCGAACTAGGACATTTAAACCTTCATTAGAGAACGTGGCCAGTTCTTGTAGATTGGTGAGAAATTGATTCCAAGCAAGTCTGGCTGCAATTTCCCGATTCCGGCAGCAGGAGACTTGGTTGGAATGGAACGAATTCTTATTGGATAGCACTATCACCACTGCGTTACCCAAGCGCCTCTTCATGTTATTATACTTGTGTTATCCATATTACTACATATGACGTTCCATTTATATTTTGATGCTGAACACTCTTCATTGATGTTTAACGTTTTGTTTTCTGCCTTCTATAATTTTCATGGCAGGTTACTAAGCGAAATACAACCACAACGTTGCTGAGATATTTGCAAAACTCTGGACGGGTGATTGCTGTGGCAAAAAGATCGATAGAAATAGCTGAGAGACGTGCGAAACAAAGGACCCGCATGGTGTGGTGGTGAACGCGTTACTCCCCGGAAAGGATAATAGCGCGTTCGTTCCCCAGCATAGACATCTGCGGTCCAGAGTTTTGCAAATATCTCAGCAACGTTGTGGTTGTATTTCGCTTAGTAACCTGCCATGAAAATTATAGAAGGCAGAAAACAAAACGTTAAACATTGTGATTTCAACTACAGCCATAGCTTAACTGGGTTCTATGCCGATTTGCGCTCCCCAGATCAACCCCGCTGACGGGTGATTGCTGTGGCAAAAAGATCGATAGAAATAGCTGAGAGACGTGCGAAACAAAGGACCCGCATGGTGTGGTGGTGAACGCGTTACTCCCCGGAAAGGATAATAGCGCGTTCGTTCCCCACCATAGACACCTGCGGTCCAGAACTCTTCATTGAATTCATTCACCCATCAAAGGAGAGCCTTCAATGGTTAATGTAGAATTAAAGTTGTTGCAACATTCTAGAGAATAAATTTAATGCAACCCAAATTACACGTTGAAAACAAACCGGGAGCATCAGAAGTAGAAGCACTAGCTTAAAAATGTGAAAATCTTAACCTGAGGCAAGTAAGACACTTATATCACGTTGTTTCATGACATTTATGAATTTTAATTGAAAATAATGGTCGAAAGATGCCTTCGTGGCGTAATGTGTCATGCAGGAGCCCCCAAAAAGGAAAATCGTGGTTCGATCTGGTCCCGGGTACAAGTTTTGCGAATATTTCCATATCGCTATAGTTGACTTCCATAATACCTTGCGTGAAAACTGTAGTAGGCAGGAAATAAAAAAGTTAATACTATGAAAGATGAACAGTTCGCAGATGTCACATTTTTCAATAAAATTTTAACACCCGAGAAGTCTTGAGCAACTGCTCATAGACCGAATATTTGTTAAAGCCCTAAAAAGGTATCATTTTACCATTTTCATCATGCAGGACTCGTCTATGCTTCGTCTTCTAAAATCCTGTTAGTTGAACAGGCTCATAATTATAGGGCAAAGTTTTCACTGGAGCAGCTCAGGGTTATTGTTGCACTGCGATTCGGTTAATAATTCGACCACTGAAGTTTCATTTTTTAGTGTCGTGCTTTAAAACAGGAAAAAACAGTTCCAACTTCTAGAAACTACGTCGATCTTGCACTGGAAGTGATGCGTTCGAACTAATGTCGATTTGCAAATAGGTGGTACTTGAACCCGTTATGCTTTTCTCCAGTGGCTTAGGCTACACTTTTAAAGGTTAAATTTTGGAAACCTACCGTTCTAAAAAAAGTTGTTTTCTTATTCGAAAATTTGCTGGACATTTCTATACTAAACCGATACCAATAAACTCAAATGGAAGAGAGAAATGAATGTCTGAGAGAGCATTTGCGATGTGAACTAAAAATTGGAAGGTGTTCTTTTTTTCAAAAACATTTAATGAGGCTCTTTAGAAAGTCTTCGGCTTCAGTATGGAAAAAATTTCTGCCAATGGTGTTTTGCTTCGTCAGAGGCTGAGGTTCCTTCTTATCTCACGGCAGCCATCTTTCAGAAGTTATCAACTTTTATATCTTTTCTTTGCTGTGTACAGCGGAAGATGATGTAGAGGTTACATTTTTCTTATGAGAGCTATGAATGTGAAATATATTTTGGCCAGATGTTGTAGGTAATGGACTTCGCGCCTTAGATGACAAGTTAGCACGAAACGGTTACTAAATTTGTGACTTCGGCTCGATTTTTAGGAGAGGAGACTCCTCGATGGCACTTTGCTAATAGAATTATAAAAATCTAACTGCTAAGAGAAGATTCGTGCATGCTTCTTCCAAGATAATCCTCGTATCAGAATATTACGGTTTACCTGTCTATATTGATCTTATGTGATCTAAGGTTTCCCAATATAGACAAATATCCTTATTTATTTAATTATTTTTGTTGTCTCCCACATTTTTGTTTGCTTCTGCTGTCTCACAACACTTTCCTCTTGACTCGGCGTTATTCGTTCGTTAAGCGCGAGTGTAGAGCATTAGTTAAAAGACCCTAGTAATACGCAGTTGGTAATCGGTTTAAATCCTTGCCTATGGCAAAGCAAACCCTCCACTACACCGGAGTCAACGAATTGTTAAGAAACTTAGTTACTTACTTATTTATTTACATAGCCTGTATATTTGGATGCCCATCTTCAGCGGTTCTGAGTGTCCGAGCATAATTTCCATTATCCGGAGATTTGCTGGTTTAGCCATTATCGCTCCTGGGTGTCCCGAGGTCAGCTTAGATAAAACTTGCTTTAGTTCGTCACCACCACAGGAGGTCGCCGCCCTTGTGGATTAGAGGGAGATTTGCCACCATTCTTAGTCTGATACCACGACGGTGGTGGATCTTGGTATTGGTTTACTCTTAGCTTGGCTTCTGGATGGAAACACCGAACCACAGCTCAGCCTTGGAGGCCCTGATAGGGAAATGAACCACCCGCTTTACATCGCCACCCGACACCCGGAAACATCTCCCAACCACGATGAGGCGATAAACCGTTCGGAGGTTTAGACGGTGCTTCTTTGGCCAAGAGACTTACTAGTTTGGAAGAATAAAAAATTCTGGCCTGATACATCAATGGGTGAACACTAGCTATTTCATGGGTGGGCAAAATATGCATTCATTCGGCTCCACGATGCTGCGAATGCCATACGATTCATGGAGCATCTCTCTCGACAATTGGGGCACCTTCTTAGCTAGCGTTATGGGCCATCTGGCAACTTATTCCTTTAATACACCTCAAATTTACAATCTGTCCAAAGCTTTATTGAACTTGTTTCGTAGAAAAAAATTCTTCAGCGTCATAGAGATTTGCACTTGTACAGATAAAGCAATACTTGCAGAGAAGAACATCTAAACAAAGAGAAGCATAGATGAAACTCGTCCTGCTTCACCTTGACGAGTTTTTACGTACTCGTCTAAAACTCGAGTGTGCAATCAGCTTTTTAGTAAAGTTTGTGATTTTTTGAAAGCACTTGAACTTATCGTTAGTTGAAAAAAAGATGTTCAAAAAGAGCACTTCGAATTCTGCATTTGAGAAAAGTTAAAAATTTCGCTTTGAATCTCAGTAATAATAAATTTCTGTTGAATTAGAAGGGAACATCCAGTTACTGTTGTAGTGGATCAGTGAGCACGGAAGTACACCGTAACTGATCTCGTTGTAGGACCCACTTCCAACTAGTGTATTAAGGTTTTTACACAAACTAAAAGAGTGATACAACCAATTATTCTATCATTTTGGCACAGAAATGCAAATACAATTTCAGTACAATATTTAGTATCGCATGAATCTTGAATACAGTGCGTCGTTTTTTTTCTCAGCAATCGCGAGGCCGTCAACATATGGTGACCATATGCGACGCTGATCAGCGGCTCTTCCACAGTGGAAGGGACATTAGAACGGCTCTGAAGAAGGCGACTCTGCCGAAACGTTGTGTTGTGTGTGTGCTATTCTATGGAAGTAAATGTACGTTGCTTAACAATCTCGCGATTGCTGAGTGAGAAAACGATGCATTCATAATCCAATGCCGAGGTTAATAGAAAGTCAATCTTGGGAACTTAAATACAGTCTCGTCTGAAAGCATTCCATAGAACTACTTAGAACTTAAGAGGTAGTTAGTAGTCTAAATAAAATCCAAATTTTATCCTTACTTAAGTATTTTATTCTAAATTATCGGCCTTATAAGCTCTATTATCAACTCCTTCAGATATTTTGAGATTCGTCGAATCAATCGAATCTCTCTTGACATTTTCAGTTTCTGCGATGAGATCGCCGCTCCATTTTGAATCTCCGGCACCGTCTATAAGCAGACTCTCTATCGAAAGAGTTGATGCCGTCGACAACGGTTTCTTTGATTGCGGCGTGATCGATCCAGTTTCAGGAATCACGAGTACATCGGGCTAAATTTGGCAATTGTAGAACGGTAGAACGTTTTTCTCTGTTCTGATAAAAACATCTGCTTTTTGAAAACAACTTGACTTTAAGAGCATTCTTTAGCGTCTAATTTATTAAAAATATTAAAAAGACAACAAAAAAGGGATCCTCATGACCAGCTCAAAAGTGTGTTCAGCATGCTAAACATGGAGGTGTTAAATGTGGTTTACCTCCAAAGGTCGTTTACTGGCGAACTTTTCCACACCGTCGCTTCATCCTTCTTCATTCACTGTGACTTTTCTGCACTGATTTCTGATAGAGACAATTCAACCTATCACCCCAAATGTTGTAAAAATAGCATCGTTTTCCAAGCAATTTTTCGTTTATCCCTTTTATCCTATCAAACCGCTTACTCAGTAATGACTGATCAGTGAGTTGTTTCCAAGTTGAGTTATGGAAGTGGCAACCTAATCACTGAGTGCACGTTTTTTAGAGTGATGGAGCAGCTTGATGACGTTGAACGTAGGTCTTCATTCCACCAGTTTTTGACCCGTAAAAGTTCTAAATTTATAGTGAGACCTCGTCATTTTGGGGTTTGACGTACATCTGAGTTGCTGCCTTACTTGCTCAGAAGTGTTGTAGTTGTATCAATAATATGACCCTCCTCATATGACGCATCTAGGCCGATACATTTCCTCCATTCCTTTCTTGTCATGAGAGTGGCAACCATCTGGATATGGAGCATTGATAAGGCGTGATTATCTCTGAGATTCCTAGACAGCTGTACATGAGAACTCGTGGTTTTCACCACAGGTTCATGATGGACCTTGTAGACAGCATGGCCGAGACATATACTGCCTTACGCCAGAATTCCTCTACGACAAGGACTCCTGCAATTGGTCGCCCGTACAAACCGTGGCCCAAAGGCAGTGCTATGACGTGTAAGTGAACTTGTGTTTCATTTCTGATTCAGCGGCATCTCTCTGTTGTAAGTGACCATTTCGGTTCACCTCTCTCTGTTTAGTAAATCACCTATATCACCAGTGAAACCAATGTTACCAATGAAAAATCAAAATTCTAAAAATTTCCAATACACCGTTTCTATGAGGTTGTCCGGAAAATAATCCAAGATTTGTATGTCTATTTTCCTTTCAAATCTTTTAGCCATAAATGTTTTTCGCAATACCGTTTCAACGCTTATTTCACAATTTCGCTTTTCTTAACTAAGGCCTAAAGTGCTTACAATGTACTGCGTCGCCTAATAAAAAGGGATAAAGCTCTCGGCGCTGATCAATCCCTGAGTAATGCGTCATGCATTCAACTTCACTAAGTATCGTTGGAGGTGACTGAATGCATATCTGACCTTTACATTAACTCGCGGTGGCCTACCGATGTATTGACCCAGCGCTGCTATCCTCCCAGAGAAGTTTGCCACCAATTTGTCAAACCCGCAGAGATGGAAGGCTTGGAGGGCCATGGACGCGGGGATCGATTTCATGTACACGCGTCCTTTTATGGAGAATGGAACAATTTGGTATAGAGATGATAAGGAAGTATCGACAGTATCAAAGGAACAACCGATAGTGACAAATAATATCCGCATCGATCAATAAGCCTTTTTTTCCTGGTAATGAAGCATGAGCTTGTTATCGTAATATTAATTCAACGATGGCTTGTTTTTAGCCTTCTTGAGAACTTGGAAAAGGGCATACACATTCCCAGTATGTTCAGCCAACTATTTTCACAACTCTAAAGAAAAAAATATAGACGTAGATTTAAATCGTATAGGAAACAGCTTCTTCAAGAAGTTAATCTTTCTTGCCTTCCATTCAGAGAGATCCAAAGTGCTACGACTTTCTTGGAGAGGGTTATTTTAAAAAATTACCTTTGGGTCATCATACTGAAAGTTGTAGTAGTCTTTTCGAGCATCGAGTGTCAGATAGCTGTATTCTTCGGTGATTTTTTCCAGTTGAGCAGCAAGCTTCTGGCGAATCGACAGGAAATTCGGCCTTTTCTCTGGATCTCGCGTCCAACATTCGCACATCACCTCATAGCTAAAAGATGAACCTCTAAAAATGATCTACTAGAAATGGACTGTATAAAATCGAAAGCATAAAAGATTGTGATCGTGTTGTCGCTAGATTGCAAACCTGGTGCAAAATATTTGGTGAAAGCACATAAAGAACAGTGAAGATTGGAAATACAACAAATGGTAACGATCAGTCCATTAGAATTCATTATGAATTCAGCACCATTCGTGGAAACGTGAAGAATACTGAGTGCATATTAGTAATACACAAAGTTTTATAGGGACCAACCAATGTAATTGGTCAGTGGCTTTGTCCTCTCAGACAAATCTGATCCCAGCTTTCCGATTCCTTGGTGATTAATGATGAAGGCTTAGTTGACCTTTGGCTACCAAAGGTACCTCTAACCACAGCGAACCAAAGTTGGGATTTGTTTCGCTGCTAGGTTTGCCTTTTACGACATCTTGATGATATAAGATAACAAAATTGTTTAGTGTTTAGAATTAGCTTTTGGAGCAGACGTTCGACGTCGAGTTATCCTAGAAATCATTTCCTGAAGTGCAGGAAATATCCCAGTTAACGGTTGGTAGCAAAAGGCGATTTGTCCTATCTAAACTCTCCATTCGCCCATAATTTCTCTTAACTATCTGCAGTACTCTGCATAAAAAATAAATTGATTTGAAGTTCCATCAGATGAATTACTTTAAGAAATAACTTTTCTGTAGAAGACGTTTGTAGCGCAGTGACTAAAGGTGTTACACACAATCGATCGAAATGTTCGCAAGAAAGATGGAATGTGTGACGAAGGAAAAATTTTGTGCTTTGTATTCGGAGGATCAACTTTGAAGGATAATAGTTGGTGGGTCAATACTGATACGCAGTTCTATTAGGTCTAATGCTAAAATAACCTTGCAGCGAAAGTTTGGGAATCTGTTGAACAATTCGCTTGTCTCGGCTTCAAGAAACCATAGACACAAGAACTTTGATAGCAGTCAAAATATGGTTGATAATGCACCAAAAAAATCTAGGGTCATCGCGATTGGAGGCATAACAATACCTGAGAGTACGCGTTGGCTATTAGAATTATTGGGCCCAAGTTTTCATCATCACAACCCATTTCTAAAACAACCCTGCGTAGGATAGCATGCAACCCTTATGAGCTTCAAGATCGACTCCGCTATCAGGCCAAGCAAGAAACATCAAATAGAGATAGAAATCAAGAGGCACTACCACCATCTCTTTCTCTAAAACGTTTTTTAGACAGCAGGACCCTAACGATGAAGTTGACGTAAAATTCCGAATGTTTTCGGACGGAATTCTCGAGACCCATAATCACTACCGCGATAGAAGGTTTATCCCTAACCCCATAGCCACACAAAAATGTTGATTGCGAGAAATTAGAGGATTAAAAAACTCGAAAACAATAAGACTGTCTGTTAGTGATAAGGGAGGAGAGTTCGTAGTTATTCCTCGCCAATTCGATGTTGAGATAACGGAGGAACATCTTAGTAAAGCTACCCTCTATCGCCCATCCTTTGAAAAGGAATACAAACATCAACACCGAAAGCTAAACAATCAATGGGTCAGTGTGGCAAAGTCTGCGGGTTTAAAATCATCGATTATTTCGCACCTTAAAGTCAATAAACCAACATACCCCGTCGTACACCTACTTATTAAAACACATAAGTTAGTATCATCTGATGATCCTGCGTCAACTAATCCATCACCATTGAAGGTTAGACCGATCATCAGCTGCGTAGGCAGGCCAACAGATAGAATAACCTGGTTTTTAAACCTAATACTTACCTAGTTGTTTAACCACATTCAAGCCCACCTCACAAACACCCAAATGTTCCTAGAACGTCTACATAACGCGTCTCCTAATAACGCGTACGTGATGGAGTCGCTCGATGTTACAGCGCTCTACACCAACGTATCGAATGACTCCGCAATGCAAGCCATCTTCGAACTTCTTGTTGAACATGAAGGAAAAATAAAAATGCATGGCTTGTCCAACGCCAGCAGCTTATGGCTCTCTTAAAGGAGTGCCTAAACTCCTCGATTTTCAGATGATCTGGGAAATACTACGCGCAAATAAGGGGGCTGGCAATGGGACAGCGACTGGCGCCAGGCCTTGCTATTGCGTTTATGTCTAGAGTGGAAGCCCCGGTCTCGGTCTCCGGTCGCTACTCTACTGCAGATATATATAGAGGATTGTTTTGTTGTCTTCTCTACACAGGAGGAGATGGACAAATGCTTCGAATTATTGAACGAGCAGTTATAGTACATCAAGTTCCGGGAGAAACCGAAAGACGACTGGCTTCCGTTTCTAAACGTTCAAATAAACCTAACAAGTAGCGGCTATATGACAAAGTAGTACCGAAAACCAAGTAGGAAAAACATCCTGGTTCATTCTCTTGCTTCCCATCCTTCACACATAAAGAGGGCGCTTGTGAGAAACATGTTTCGAACAGCCACTTCTGTGTGCACAAGTAGGGAGCTAAACGAAGAATTGCGTGACATGGCTCGGCAATTAGCCATCTCCAATGGCTACGAAATTGTAACCCCACGAGATAAGTTTAGAAGGACAGCGACTCCTCAAAACGAACGGTTTGGCCGGAACAAAATCCCGTTCACCTTGCTCTTCATCAGCGATGAAATAAGTGTAGCGATGAAGCGATGATTAAGAACGGCAGATCTAGAGGAATCGGCAGCAGTAACTGAAATACCACCGAATACTCTTCGTCGTCAGTTAGTTCGTAACCGCCTGTTTTACCGCCTATGTGCAACAACAAGTTGCGTAATTTTCCCTTACGGCAAGGACGGTGATCACATGAGTTCAGGTACGATATACCTGATCTCTTGTAATAATTGCGAAGATGAATATAATGGCGAAACGGGCAGAACTTTGTCTATCCGTATAGAAAAACACCTAGATGGCAAACGAAAAGTAAGGCAAGTTACGCCATTAGGGCCGCATAGGATACAAAAGCATAGCGGAGACGTTTTTGACATAAGAGCAATTATCCTCGCACGGAATCCTAAAACACCAACGCACAAACTCCTCTAGACTTTTTGGATAAACGCCAAAAATCCTACAATGAATAGAACGGAGGAATGCCCCTAGATCACTCGTAATTTCGCCCCGTACTTTCCTATCGATCGTTGATGTGGGGAGTTGCTGTCGTCAACCATATGGGACTCTGAGCGGCTGTTCTTCCTCGGTGGAAGATAGGTGAAAAAAGCGGTGAACTTTTTCGAGAAGCTGTTGACCGTGTGACTACCATTTAAGTTCTCATCTTTCTGTATGTGTTATTGAAGCGTTTGACGTAGTAAATTGCATATGAGTATGCCCAAAACGTCAGCTACGACTGTGTTGCATGTGTGTTATTGTATGGAAGTAAACGTATGCTGTTTAACAACCTTGCGATTGCTGAGAGAGAAAACAACGAATTCATAATCGATTCAATCAGTTCAATCTCGCGAACCTGGCTCATAAATCCCTCCTTCTATTAGGGGTCGACAAATTGGAAGCAAAGTTGTTTGGGAAGACAAAAGAACTATGCAATAGCTAATAAAAAAAAACATTGACTAGATAATTTTAACTTATTTTCTCCTTCCCACTCTTTTTAATAGAATATTGCGAAATATAACTTCAATCATCCTGAGATATTTATTTATATGATCTTATAAACTGATTTTCTTAAGCTGACGCGAGGTTGGCACAGGTGTGTCCCACGCGTAACATCACGGCTCTGAGGAAGGCGAAGTCGCCGAAACGTCAGCCATCGACCAGTAACATCAAAAACAACGACAACGACAACGACAACGAAGACCTATGCCAGCCTCGCGTCAGTTTAAGAAGATCAGTTTATAAGATCATATAAATAAATATATCAACTATCTATGCCGAGGTTTATAGAAAGTCGGTCTTTCGAGCTATTAAGACCCTGAGATATTTGCAACAGTGCGGACCGCAGGTACCTGCCGTGAGAAACGAACGCGCTATTACCGTTTCCGGGGGTTAACGCGTTCGCCACCACATCATGCGGGTCCTTCGTTTCGTCTGTCTCTCAGCTAGTTTTATTGACTAAATAAATCTATGGGTTCTGCATTTGATCACAACTGCGATGACGAGAATGGAATCGAATTCATATCTTATCCGTAGCGAACTGATCAACGCTGAAAGCTTAATAGTCTGTCCCGTAGAAGCATAGAACTCACAAATTTTCTGGACAGTTGTCAGGTCGTTCCATTCGGCCACCGTTTTCCAGGAATGGTAGCATTTTTTCGGGTGGAACAGACGGATACGGTGAGCCGCCAAGAGTGATGATTTCGAACAACAGCACTCCAAATGCCCACCTAAGAAAAAATTTCACATGCTAGACTTTTACGGAAAAAACCACTGAATGGCACTTGAAAGCCCTTTGCTTTCAATCAATCTCCCACAAAAACCCCTATATAAGGACATCACTCGTCAAAAACTCTTTCGTTTTAGTTCTTTTCTTAAGAACCCGTTAGTAGAATAAATTTCTCCTTTTTATCTCATTTTTTCATAGACGACAACCAGTTTTCTCGATCAATAATTTATTAAAAAAACGCTTACACATCACTCTGCGCAGAAAATTCATAATGTCGAATTGCTTCTGGTGACATCCATTTCAGCGGTAGACGACCACCCTCAAATGGAATGCGTTGTAAAACAATAAAAAAAAAAGATAGTAAAGGTAACAACCACTATCTATGATGCTGAGGTATTTGCAAAACTTAGATCACAGACCAGATCCGAACCGCGATTTCCCTTTCCGGAGACTCACATGTTGCACACTCCACCACTGATGCCTTCGCTTTGTCTTTCTCTCAACCAAAGTTAACAGTAACTTGGACACTTGAACGACTCGTCCTCACTGTTTGTGCGGGCCTCAGCATAATCTCCATTTTCCGGAGTTTTGCTGGTTTAGCCACTGTGGTTCCTTGAAGTACCGAGTACAACCTGGCCGAAGTCTGCCCCAGATCGTCACTACTACTGGCCGTCTTGTGGATCAGAGAGAGATTTGCTACCATGCCACCAGGATGGTAGTGGATCCTGGTACTGGTTTACTCTTAGCTGAACTTCCTGATAGGAATGCCGTACTCCTTCTCAGTTTCGGAGGCCCTGCCGGGAGATGAATCCCCCTGCTGTACATCGCAGTCCGACACCCAGGAACACCTCCCAACCACGATGAGGCGATAAACCGTTAGGAGGAAAGGTAACTATAGACAAATAAACTATCCAACATTCAATTAGATAACGCCCATGTAGTAATTTAGTACTACCGCAGCAAAGCATGATTTTAAAAAAGCCCCTTAGTATTGGTGAAACCACAACGGCTGCAGGTAATTTCAAAATTATTTCATAACTACAGAAATTTCAAATGGAAAAAAAACCCAGAAAAGAGAAGGTGTAGATTGAATGGACCTACCTTACTCTTATAGTGGGAATTGTCCGTGTATAAATTTCGGCAAAGACCGAAGTCACCGATTTTACAGGAGGTTTTTCCATGGACGAGCACATTACGTGCGGCGACGTCACGATGTACGAAACCCTTCGATGAGATGTACTCCTGTAAGAAAAAGAATTCATAGAAAAAACTGGAAAAAAACTTAAAATTGTCGTTTAGTTACTCAGCTGCGCCCTCTTGCTTATATAGTTTTGTGGCACGTGGCTCACTGGTAAGAGATGCTATGCACGCAGAGTCATTAGTTCGACCCCACCCCTTTGGAAAAGCATGGAGGATCCATTTCTTGCGGATTGGCAAATAGTGCAAGGCTTCTCTGGAATGATGAAACACCGGCTAGATATACATTGAATCACCTTCACGATACTACAAATAGTGAAAATTGTTTTACTAGAAGTAGAACTGAGTGGATGTGGCATCTTTGACAGGTAGTTCAACACTAGCACTTCATCCTCGTTACATTTTAGGTGACAATTCTGCCGTAACCTTATAAAGTGAAAAGTTCTTTCAAACAATATTTTAGAAAAGAAGACTTCATATACTCTGTTTTCTGTTATGCATTACCAATATATCAATAAAGTATCTGTGCTAAAGCATTAAAGGGTGAAAGGAGAAATCTCTCGACGTTGATCAATCCCTAAGAGATCAACCGTCCATTTGAAATAATCAAGTATTGCAGAGGCAACTAAACGCATATCTGGCCTACGAAATAAACTTCAGTGGCCTGCTGATGTATCCAGTCAGTTCTTTCTACTTCTGTTCAGCAAACACGAGGTGCTATTTCATTTCTTTATTTACGTACAAGCTGAAGAAGGCGAAATCCGCCGAAACGTCAGCTTGTACGTAAATAAAGAAATAAAATAGCACCTCGTTTTTGCTGAACAAAAGTAGAAAGAATTGTTCAATTAATGCCGAGGTCAATAGAAAGTCGGAGGCGGGAGTTACTACAAAATATTTCTACACAAGATATTTTTTCTATTTACTACAAGATATCCAGTCAGTGTTTTATTGTTTCAGACAGGTATGCCACCGGTTTTCCGACCACTCAGCAATAAAAAGGTTAACGAGTCCAGAGAGAAGGATTGAAGTAGTGACCGATTTAGTGTGTACTGCAGGGGTAACCTCTAACACTACGCTGCACACGGCTAAATCACTAACTTGTGACGTAGTTGAAGTTGCTACGTTGGGATTCGTAAAAATTCAGCGGATTTTTCCATACCTTATGTCGGTATATAAAATAAAATAAAGGATAAAGCTCACGGCGCTGTTCAATCCCTGAGGGATGCGCCAAGCATTCGACTTCATTAAGCATCGTTTGGAGGTGATTGAATGTATATCTGACCTTTACAATAACTCGCGGTGGCCTACCAATGTATCGAGCCGCTGCTGCTATCCTCCCAGACATGTCTGGTACTAATTTGCCGACCCTGGAGGGATAGAAGGCTTGGTGGGCCATCGGCGTCGGAATCGTTTCCACGTGTGTATTGCAGGGAGCATTCGACCACAGCGCCACACGCGCTATTTTATGTTCGTAATTGAAGAAATGATACCGATAATACGCCAAACTCACCAATCCGTAGCTGATTTGTACAGCGAACATCAACAATTGTTTCAGAGTGATCACCATGTCTATGTCGTAATTGTTGTCGAGTGGTGGCTCATGATAGTTAACACCATTCGCGTCAAGCTTGAATGATCGCGGCCATTTTACGGGTATTCAGAGCTTGGAAAATCCATTCAATTTTTACCTTTAGCATGTATTTACAGCGTTCTCGAAGAAATCGTAGCAGATCACCGTCATTACAGTACTCCACCACAAGACAAAGCGGCTCGGATTCGGTGATACATGCGAGCATGTTGACCAGCCTGAAATACAATGTTAAACTTTAAAATCATATTCAGCTAATGAACAAGACTATCGAGGCCTGTGAATCCTTAACGGATACGCCGTGATTTCTAAACCATCCGTAGAGTTGAAGACACGATTGAATGCATATTTTCCCATATAATAACCTATGTTGGAAAAATAGGAAATAGTTTTTTCACGACTTCACTAAAACCGGAATTAAGTAGGGCTAGACTTGCCTAGAGCATGTAATCGAACCAGAGACCATGTGTGTACTACAAGGCATCCAGGACCACTGCTCTACACGCGCCCAACTAAGTCTAGTATAATGAATTCTTAGTTTCCTTCAGCATTCCTCTTCAACAACGCTCCCTAACGGTATTGAGTACCTTTGACCTTATGATAAAAAGGATAAATCGATAAAACCCATAGTGTTGATCAACCCCTTAGGGTTGCGCCATACATTCAAGTTTATTATGCATCGTTTGGAGGTGATTGAATGCATATCTTGTCTTTACAATGACTCGCAGTGGCCTACCGACGTATCGAGTCAGTGCTGCTATCCTCCCAAACAAGTCTAATACCAATTTTCCGACCCCGGAGGGATGGAAGGCTTGGTTGGCCATGGGCTCAGAGGCCGATTCCACGTGTGTGCTGCAGGGCGCATCCCACCACTGCGCCACACGCACTCTATTTGTGCCTTCGCGATATACTGTAATAGTTATGATATCCATCGAATTTTTGTGCCTTCATTCAGAATTTTCGAAACACGAACTATTTAGCACTTTTTCGGGATTGCTCCGAGTTTAAGAAAATACGAAAAGGCGGAAGAAGTGCGTTACCTTTCATGATAACCCAGCGATTTCATCAGCCCGATTTCTCTCAGGAATTCACCACGCGATATATCATCAGCATATTCTGGTAGCATCTTTACGGCTACCTATAAAAACATATTTTATCACTCCACGACCGTTTCGGGCTTTTGACGATAATTCCACTGCTTCAACAAGTTTTCAAAAAGTTATAGAAGAAGGCATTCCTTATCAGGATATAATAAAAAAAGGATAAAGCTCTCGACATTCATCAATCCCTGAGGGTGCGATCTCATTTGAATTCATTAAGCATCGTTTGGAGGTGATTGTATGTACATCTGGCCTTTACAATGACTTGCAGTGGCCTACGGACGTATCGAGGCAGTGCTGCTAACCTCCCAGACAAGTCTAGTACCAATTTTCAGAGCCCAGAGGGATGGAGAGCTTGCTGGGCCAGGGGAGTGGGAATCGATCCTATGTGTGTTGCAGGGCGCCTCCGACTACTGCACCACACGCGCCCTTTATCAGGGCATATGCATGTATATATTCTTTTAAGTGCAATATTTATTACAGTGATAAGGTCGGAGTTTATCGGACGGGCTCGTTGAATCCTTTCGATTTTGAGATGCAGGTCTTGATGGTAAGGAATAAACTGTGAAGAAGAGTGAAGAAACGGTGTTGTAACTTTTTGAAGACTAACTATGGATTTTACAGGTCTTGTTTCGACTGATAAACTTTGCTACTAGCCGAGATAACATCGATTGATATAATAGCAGTAAAATAATGGTAACACTGACAATAGTGATGATATTCACACCAATAAAAGAAAAAAGAAGGAATCAACAAATAAATAAGGGACCTATTGGACCGATTCCGGTCCACTTTGGGTCCCTTTGGGGCCACACTGTTTATGACTAACGCATCAATGCAAAAGCGTCCCCAAGGAACTAAACTGAGCCGGAATCGGTCCAAAAAGCTCCGCACTCGCATACCTCCACTCGGTCAGAAGAGCGGACGCAATTCGACACTATTCCTTACCCAAAGAGTACTAGGGGTCGCAGCACACAAATCAATAACTTAGTTACAATTCGAAATTTCGCGTTTGTTCTCGTTCATTGAACTAATAATGAAGTTCATTTCTGATACAGATTTCCTTGTGAATCTATTACTGTTGAGCCGGAAAAACAGTCAACTCACTTCACAACTTTCTGCTCGCATAAGATTAACGCCAAGTGGCGAATTGGAATTTTTGTGAGCACACGATTTGCCAAGAAGTTTTCCTTCAAGTATTCGCTTCAGTGTTAAAGTATAAAAACAAAAAAACGAAGAAAAAATTACTGGTGAGTATTTGGCCCGTTCCTACCTAAATAAACTGCTCCAAATGCTCCACTTCCAAGTCTTTCTTCCTCAAAAATAATCAGATTACGACGTTCAATCTCCCAAATGTCGTGTCTGAATCGATTTTTTTAAATAGTTTCTAGAAGGATCAGCTGTGCAATTTTTTACTTTGTCTCTGGTTCGAATTATGAATTGAAAAGTTTGAAAGCGGTCACAGAATTTTTCTTCTCAGCTTTTCTAAATATTCGAATTTTTTTATTTGATCAGTCTTCACGTCTACTGTGAGGAACCCAGCAAATCTCACATTTGAATCGTTTCCTCACATACAACTCCCACGAAGGTCTTCCAAATTTTTACGTGTGGCTTCGGTTGCTGCTTGAGAATTTTAATTTCACGTTGAATGTCGTAGAATGCTGATCGAGCAATTCTCCTCTGAGTCCTGAGATAACCGGACTGGAACGTTCCCACTGGATTGCAGAGAGTGATTTTTTTCCCAGACAAGTCCGGTACCAATTTCCCGACCCCGAACGGATGAGAGACTAGGTTGGCTCGGAGCGGAATTGGACTATCACCATGCTCGTGATGACGCACATCACTACCACTGTGCTATGCACTGCCTAATATTCAAAATTTCATTTTAAAACTTACAACACTCTTTTTACGGCTCCAGAAAATATTTGTAGCCACAAGGGCGAAAAGTTAGAGCAGGAAGCACGCAAATATCAAATATTTAAACTAATATGTGTTTGCAGAGTTTTTTTTCGCATGACTCGTTTTCATATTTGCTGTATGGATTTCAGGATTTCTTTACATTCAATACATTCAGCTCGTGCCCTCATATCAACCATCCACAAAGGTCTTGAAACTCTTCGCGTATGGTTTCGGCTGCTGCTTCAGCATTTTATCGTTCTTTATGAATACCGCTGAATGCTGGCCAAGTCGATTCCCTGTAGTCCGTGGAGAGCCGGGTTGAAGCTTTCGTTCCTGGATTAAAGGGAGTGTACTTTTCTCAAAGAAGTTTGGTGCCAACTTCCCAACCCCGGAAGTATGAAAGGTTTGCTGAGCACAGAGCGGGTTCAGATCAGCACCTCGCTCGAGATGAAGGGCACCACTAACACTGTGCCATCCCTCCTTTTTTTGAACAAAATGCAGAACAGAAATGGTGTTAATAAAAATTAAGCACTAAAATAACAAGACAATGTGTTGAGAAGACAAAAAACAAAAAACACATACTTTTTCGGGAAATCGATATATCTACTTCCTTTCTCTTGTTCCAGTTGAGCCAATTTCAGTCGGTATAGTCTGTTCTCTTTTCTTTGTTTTTTGTTTACGTAGCAAAAGAAGGCGATGACGAAAGACACCAGCAACGTGACAGCTCCGACGATAATGCCAACAATTACAGCGGGAGGTTGAACCTTCGACGATTTTTCTGTAAGGCGACGCTTTAGTGATTGAAATTTGAGGAAAATGTGAACATCGCACATTGCTAACTGAAACTTTCACAAAATCATTGAAAAATTAATAATTTTTGCTAATTGCTAAGTACAAGCGTAGAAAAAAGTGAAAAAGGATAAAGTTCCCAGCGTTGATCAATCCCTATGCATCCAACTTCATTAAGCATCGTTTGGAGGTGATTGCATGCATATCTGGCCTTTACAATGACTCGCGGCAGCCTGTCAGTGTATCGAGACAGTGCAGCTAACCTCTCAGACAAGTCCAGCATCAATTTGCTGACTCCGGAGGGACGGAGGGCTTGGTGGGCTCGAGGCGCGTGGATTGATTCCACGTGTGTGTTGCTGGGCGCCTCCGACCACTGCGCCAAACGCGCCCATAGCATAAAAAGCTTTGTAAATTGATTAACTAAATTATAACACTAAGAATTAATAAATTCTTTGTAGCAGATATACGCAGAACCTTTAATACACTCGCTCTATGTGCTGGTGTTGGTTATTAGTCAATCAGAACATGAATAAATAGAGTCATCCCATCAGCATTTCGCTAATAGCCAGCTTCTTTGCTCTTAGCGAAAAATAGATCTGGCCTTTCTGTTTCCGCTTTAGTCTTCTAGGGCTCCGACACTTGGTATGTATTTGTAGAATTTGAATGAAAGATAGAAATCACCTGGTGCTTTGACAAAGATCTTACTGGCTCTCGGTTTGAATATTCTACCGGGTGCCAATATATCCGGCAATTCGACATTATTTATATCCTTCACGGCACAAAATGTGATACCGTACAGTTTATCGAAATGAATTGAATCCACAATCACACTGTTGCCACTGTCCTCCTAAAGTTCGAAACTTCATTGTATTTGTATAACATTTGCAAGTGAAGTTTACTTTAAATTTTTCTGTTTCACACGACTCCACATCACACACTGTGTTGGTCACAGCACTTCTTTGACTCGATCCCGTTAATCGAATCCGCCATCCACTGAAATATTTGCGCTTCTATCTGCATTTAGCTGTTGCTTGACTGGTCGCGTCGATTCTTTTTTGAATTATAGAATGGTCGTACTAGATCGTTCCCAGACCTTTATCACATGCAGTAAGAGATCTTTGAGAGAGAGAGGAAGCACTTAGCCAAGTAATATGATGCAGTTCCCAGAGCGCAGATGGATGGAGTGCCTCGTTGACATGGGGCCGTCTCAAACCAAGCAGTACATTATGCGTATTATTGAACGACCTCGTTATTACTGAGCTGACCTAGACCAAATTATACGAATGACGAGCTATTCCTCCCAACGGTTTACCACCTCATCGTGGCTGGGAGGAGTTCGTGGGTGTCGGACTGCGATGTACAGCGGAGATTCATTCCCTGGCAGGGTATCCCAAGCTGAGTAGGAGCCCGACGTTTCCATAAGGAAGCCTAGCTAAGAGTAAACCAATACCAAGATGCTCCATCGTCCTGGTATCAAAGTCGCATAGTGGCAAATCTCCCTCTGATTCACAAGGGTTGCGACTGTCTGTGGTAGTGAAGACACGGGGCACACTTTGGCCTGGCTGACCTTCGGATTCCAGTGAACCACAATGGCTTAACCAGTAAACTTCCGAAAAATGGAGATTATGGTGGGGTCCGCACAACCAATGAGGATGGGCCATTCATTTATCAACTATGAAGCAAGTAATGTGCAAGTATTACTTAAACGTTGGGCTTAAAATTATAAAAATAGCAAAAGACAAAGCGCTTGGCGTTGATCAATCCGTGAAAGATGCGCCATAAATTTGGCAGTGGTTGAATGCATTTCCGGTCCATATAGTGGGTTGCGGCTTCACGCGGATGCATCACAGTGCTTCTCTCCTCCTAGACGAATATGTCTTGATGAGCAGTGACGAGTGATCAGATAGACCACTGATCCAATGTGTACTGCAGGTTTTTCTAACAACTGTATCACAAGCATCAACGTTCTTCTGTCATGTTTATGCATGTACACCCGACAATAGTTATTGTGCTTAAAGACCATAAAATTCCTTTGAAATTCCGAATTAAAACTCACGGTGCAAAATCCTTTGGAGTCAAACGCCAAGCAGTTACTGGAAAAACCAGTTACATTCGTGATATTCACACCAACGAACGCTTCCTAAATGCCTTCATAATAAATCGATACTTGGATAATCTCATTTAGTAAATAGGATTAATTAATAATATCGAATCACGCAGAAAGTCATTGTAGATGGTCATAATCTTTTAAAACTGGCTATAAAGGATAAAGGATAAAGCTTTCGGCGTTGATCAATCCCTGAGGGATTCGTCATGCATTCGACTTCACTAAGTATCGTTGGAGGTGATTGAATGCGTGTCTGGCCTTTACAATGACTCACGGTGGCCTATCGATGTGTCGAGCCAGTGTTGCTATCCTCCCAGACTAGTGTGGTACCAATTTGCCTACCCCGGAGAGAAGGTTTTGGTGGGCCATGGTCGCCGGGATCGATTTCACGTGTGGGGCAGTGGCTCCTCCATCCACTGCGCCACACGCGCTGCAAAATTGGTTATAGGCTATGAAAATCTGGAAATTTAGCACATAGATGAAGTAGCAGCTTAAAAATTGACGTCCACCGGGTTATTTCTTTTTGTGCATTTTTTTCACTATACCATCCTTGTTCATTTGTTTTAATTCAACTGGCTATTTTCAGGTTTTACCACAGGTTCGTGAACTAGACAAACCTCTTCCTTTCGTTGGTACGGTATCGCCTCACCGTATAAAGCCTTGTAGTAAATTGTCGATGGTTCATTCTGCCTAATGATAGGCTTAAATGTGACATTCAGAGTAAGCGAATAGTTTGCGTCGTATGGATCCAACACATCTCCCACAATCTGTAAATGAAGTCTATTTCCTTCTTTTCGAACTTCGTTGGATTTATTCGTTTTACTACATAATCGACTATGGTTTGAGCGAATGTTGACAGGAGGGTATGCCACTACAGGCAAGCTTGCAAAGCATGTCACCATGATATTCAGCTGCATGTATAACTCCATATCCGGTCACATCTTTCGCTAAAGTTGTCGGAAAATGTCAAATCTAGCAAGTTTTAACAAATCACAAAGATGCCGAATATGAATTAGGAATCCGTATCCTAAAGGAAGAAAAGGTAGTCCATAGAACCTAATTAGGCCTTGCGCGAACTGTATATAGGAAGCCTCCACCACGACATTTGCCACTATATCGTGCATGGAAGTATTCTACTTCTCAGATAGACTTTCAGTCACTTTGCTTCAAGTCGCTAGAGGTCACGTCAAGAACGATCAGTAGATTTTGACAACTTCTAAAACGTCCCTGCATAGGAAGCGTCACAGAAGACAATGAGGTGGCTGATAACGTAAGAAAATATGTCGCTTGCTTAAGTACTTGCTTATATATGCTTGTATCACAGCCTATAAGTGCATTCCATAAATTGCTTATGTAGCACATCGTCATATTATGTGAAGACCTCTCACTTTTCCGAACTCTTGCGTGGATTTCAGCCTTCGTCTAGAGAGATCGTCAGACTCAAGTTGTTTAAGATGAGGCTTGAACATCAGCCGCCTTACATTCGAAGTCGGTGTACTGAAGTGGTATATGCTGGCTGAGTGTGTTCCTACGTGGAATCTCGAGACACAGTGTAGGAGATCTGGCCTTCATCATAAATTGTTGCCGACTATTATGCTGACAAGTGGATTTTCAGTCCTGCTTCCCAGAACTTATGTTTGAAATAAACATAATATTAAACTTCCGCGCTAAGCCTTTTTTTACAAGCACTTTTTTCTGGAAAGAGGAAGAAGATGGAGCGTCAATATTCGATGGAAAATTTCACCACAGCTAATTTACAGTCCGAGATCTCGGTCGGTCAGTCGCGAGGTTACGTGGCGCGTCCCCAGGTGGCGGATAGGGGGTTAATCGCGAACCAAAAGCGACCTTTGCTTCCCTGAAACGCATGTGGATACAGGGGACGGACCCCCTTTTTTGCTGCTCCTATTTGGCACATACTTTTTGTATTTACGAGTCCCACTCATCCACACGTGTGTGGGTGCGTTCTAGTTCATGCAAACTGTGTTCTACGAGTCAGTTCAGCCAAAAGCCTGCAATCAAGTTACAGGGAAGTAAATGGGAGGCGGTTAAAAGTCGCCTCCAACAAATAAGCACCATGTCCATTCCGGGAGAACCTGGCAAGCTACCCGTGAGTATAACCAGCCTCCACTTTCAGAGCCCAGCAAGCTATACGTGGGTGACAAAAATGCTAACACAGCAAAAAAAACAGGCCTCATTCCCCTGACCCCGAAAAAGCGACCAATTTTGCAGCATTGGATAGGACGAGTACGGAGATGCTGCTAAAATCTAAGGACCAATGGAAGCTGGCTGGATCACGAAGAACTATGGTGACGATCTGTACCTACAGTGCACGTACACTTGCATACGAGTCGTCAATGGAAGAATTGCGCAAGCAAGAAGGATAGGGTACGACTTCACCGCCGTGGCTCGCAATTCCAGAAGCCCCACACTCAACGCTGGAAGTGGGAGTCTCCCAATGGAGAGTAGGATAACGAAATAGACCTCACCATAGTAAATAGAAGGATTTGCCTAAGCGATACCGCTGTTGTGCCAAAATTCCACAAGGAATCAGACCATCGACTACTTCGTGCCAAATTCTATTTCTTGCGGAAAGGAGAAAAATCGGCCAAATTCAAAAATCGAAGTCCCAGAACCACAACGAACTGGGACTTATTCAATTAACTTATTATTCATTTATTCAATTATTCAATTCAATCAATTAGTGCGTTCTTGCTTATGCGGACTGTATTCTACGAGTTAATTCGGCCAGGAACCTGCAATCATGTGACTGGGAAGTATACGACAGGCGGCTAGGAGTCGCCTCCAACAAATAAGCACCATGTCCATTCCGGGAGAACCTGGCAAGCTACCCGTGAGTATAACCAGCCCCCACTTTCAGAGCCCAGCAAGCTATACGTGGGTGACAAAAATGCTAACACAGCAAAAAAAAACAGGCCTCATTCCCCTGACCCCGAAAAAGCGACCAATTTTGCAGCGTTGGGTGGGACGAGTACGGAGAGGCTGCTAAAATCTCAGGACCAATGGAAGCTGCCTGAATTTCAAAAAACTATGTTGACGATCTGTACCTACAATGCACATACACTTGCATCCGAGTCCTCGATATAAGACTTGCTCATGCAAGCAAGAAGGATAAGGTACGACGTCATCGGCCTAGCCGAGACGAGAAGATGCCAGCCTTTCAACGTCGTCTATGACACTGGAAAACTGTTCCTTGGAGTAACTGCCACGACCGACTTTCTATTAACCTCGGCATTGATCAAGTGATTTTGTTCGTATTTTTTGAGCAAACGCG